TGGAAAATAGATGATAAAATAATTCCAAGTTTAGGGAACTTCTGTTTCTCTGTTAACAGAGTCATATGTCTGTAATGAGTCATGGGGAGAGATTTAATATTTATTTGAGGGGATAATTTACTCTAATTCCCCTTCCTTGCTTCTAAACACCTTCTATAGGTGTTTAGGACCTGGTGTTGGAGGGGAGGCATAGAAGTTGGGAATAGTGCGGTTCTTGTAGCTTATCTTCTTCTGACTTGCCCTCAGGATGTTGGCAAACCAGCTAAATCCTGGCTGGAAGAGCTATGGAAAGCACAGAATTCCCAGTGGCATGTGTGTATCAGATCGGCCACATTGGGATGTGCAAGTCTGCTGCTGGGTCTGGGTTCAGTTGATGGTGGGAACAGGAAAGCCAGTGCTGCTGTAACCAGTCCTTCAGCTGGTGAAGGTCCATGCTGTGGTGTGACTTGGTTATAACTTCTCTGCAGTTCACTTTGGGGTTCTGGTGCTCTCTTCCCGTCCCTGTCTTGCCTTTGCTGCTTGACCTTTACTTGCCAGGCCTTAGGAATTCCATTTATTGTGTGGGAATAGACTTTTAATCTTGCCATGTTAACCCACGTGCACTGAGCTCCATGGGAGATGCGGCGACAGCCTTCAGCCTGAGCGCAGTTAGGCTGGGGCTTAGATGCAGCCCTAAACGCTGCCCTGTCATCTTGCAGGACTCGCATTGGAGCTGATCCATTCTGTTCTGTCTGAATGCATGGAACTTGCCTCCCAGCTCTTTGGCAAGCCAGAGCTGTGGCAGTGCTGGGAGGCTGATTAATAAGTAGGGCTTGAAGTATTTTTCCAGGACTATTTTATGGGAATAGCTCTCAGCAATCAAGATATAAAGAGATCGTCTTGGTTGATTTCCTGATGAAATAAAATGCATCTTGTGCTCGGTGTTCTGAGGATGTAAAACTTGTTTACAGTGGGTGGAGGTTGTATGTGCAGCTTTACTTCTACAGTGTTTAGGGACTGAATGTTAATAGAAAACCAGCTTTAAATAGTCAATGGCATAATACAAATCAGTGTCAGGGTTTGGAGGGGTGTGCATGGGACTTATATTGAAGATGCCATAAAAAAAGACATCTTAGAGGGTTATGGATTGCGTCAGCCTACTAAAATGCCCAGAATTTGGGGTAGAGACTATCTCAGTGCAGGTTAGCAGGAGATTTCTCTTTTAGTAGTCTCTTATGGAATGAGCCCTGTAGCAAACCAGCCCTTCCACTGGGATCATAGAACAGTTAGGGTTGGAAAGGACATTAAGATCATCTAGTTCCCAGGGAATGTAGTGTTGAAGAACTGTTCCCTGCTGCATTTGGGTGCTGCTAGCACCACGTGGGCTAAGGAGAGAATGTGGCATATGAGGAATATGTAAGTAAGAAGCAGTTGTTCTCTTGCCTCGGGAGTCTTTGCTAAGCACAGCTGTGAGCCCACAGGGATTTCTTAGCTGACAACCTATTTTGCAGTTGTTCTCCCGTAGCATGTGCTTACAGTTCATGAGTGATGGTGAGAACTCCCGTTTCATCTGGTGATCTCAAATACTGGAATCGTGGACTAACCTTACCTCCAGAGTAATGTTCCCAATTCAGTGGCAAAAAATGGCATTGCAGAAAGAAATTGGCTGGTAAGAAGGTGGTGGCTGAGGTGGGAAAGGTGTTCCCATGCTCTTTAGCTTGTCCTATGGCTGTTACTGTCCTGTGCTGTAGAACGATGCTGTGTCTGTGCACAAAGGATGTTACGTAGCCTGTGTATGTCTCCAAAGCAGATGTTGAACAATTGTCCTGTTTTCCTAGTGAGGTTTAGATTCTTTCTTGTTCAACCCCAACTTTTCCAATGAGGAGACCAGAAATGAGACCATCTGAGGGGCTATGGGTTAAGAGCAAATAAAAAAGCAGAACACACGTATCTGGTTTTATCCTCTGAGTATCTGAAGGATGTTATGGTGCAAAGGTACCAAGTAGCACAAAAATGGAGGGTGGAATTTAGGGTTTGGGGGCACAGGACAAGATGGTCTGTGCTGGTGGCTCCTTCCAGCATGGCAAAGAAAAGTCAGTCTGGCCATGTATGGCTAGAAGGGGGCTCTCTCTGGTATCTGATGTATATGGTGTATATATATACATATGGCACCGCTTTGTAGTTAGTGAGCCTGAGCTGTTTGGCAGAGCTGAGGGGGAATTATTTACATGCAGTTTTATTTTCAGCCTTCTTCCTGTTTTGACACCTCTTGGCAATTTTCCTAAGTGCTTAAACCGCCTGTTACTGTGAAGCAGGTTTTTAAGCAGCTCCACCTTTAAATTGGGTAACGCTTATTTACTGTTTGACTCCTGGCTCTGACAGCATTCCTTTCTCTGACGGATTTCTGCTAAATGAGTTATTTCCCACACTTGCATCTTCTTTTCCATTTCCCTCCCTTTCTGTGGGTGTCAGTCACAGCTCATGAGGTAAAGGATGCTTTTAGAAGGCAGATGTTGCTCGACACTGTGTGTGTGATGGAAGGGGCAGAAAGCAGAAGGTGGCTGAGGAGAACCTCGCAGCTTTCAGTGGCTGACTGGCACAGGCAGCTGAATGAGAACTCTATTTCGTTTACCCTCTTGTTTTCCAATAGGAGAGACTGCAATGATAGGCATGTGCCCAAGTAATGGTACCTCTAGGAAGAGGCTTCAGGTTGCCAATGATAAATAGCTCTAACGCAAGGGGCTTCTCCATACTTGCAGTCTACACTGCTCATCCACAGGTTTGCTTGTCCCCTGCTCTATCAGTAGACTAGTTTTTATGTAAGGAAAACTGGTTGCATTGCTTGGAGATGATTTCTCCCCAGAGTGCTATGAGGACTTAATCTTCATGCCAACCTCTTGCTTATTGTGAAATAGCTTATTTTGCACTGCCTGAACTGAATTCCTCTAATCTTAATTCAAAGATGTGTGTTACCTAGCTCAGGCAAAAGTACACACATAGTAAGTCATGTTTGTTAAATGGATGAAATAAAATGAGCTGGAGTTCCCAGTGCTGTGTGAGACTTTGCCTCTAAATTGCTTCCTTCTGCCTGCGTAGTTCCAAATGCTAAGTGAAAAATACTGTATATTGACTTCTGGAGCACAGACTGTCTCATCTGAGTCCTGTCTTTATTCTCAGCTCTTTCTGCTCCTATGAAACACTTAGAAAGTCATTGTCAGGCTCAGAAACATCTTGAGATAAGGCTGGGTCTCTCGGAGCAGCAGACAGATGACATCCCTGTGCCTGAGAATGAAAGCTGGCTGACATGAAATTTGACCTGCTGTCCCCTTTTGGGCTGATACTGTCTGCTGGTGGCTGAGGTGTACTTAGAATTGTAACTCAAGTGATGCCTGGCTTGTGTTCTTGCCCACAATATCTTTATAGCCTAAGCACCGCTCGAGTGTTGCTTAGCAATGTGTTTCTAGAGTGTTGCATGGACCTGGCATCTTGTAAAGCTTTCTAGGCCTCCAGAAGCAAAAACCTGAGCAGAAAGAAAAGCTTTAAACCAGCTCCACAAACCCCAGATTTGAGTTCTTTAAGTTTGGTGGAACAGAGCTTAACCTTCGTACTTGAGGTTGGGATGTTTCCAAGCAGAGCGTGGAGAGCAGGGGTGAGGGTGATGCTCCTTTGTATGGTGATGCTGTTGCGATCGAAAGCTTGGAATTGGTGAGTGGCGACCCTGAGAACTCCCCTCTTAGATCTCCTGGTGACAAAGGGCTCTCTGTGTGGGCTGTGAGGCCAGGTCAGAGCAGCGCAGCTACTCCCTTCCTCCTGCTGAGCTGCTGCGGTGTGAGGAGCTGGTTCCATCAGTGAGCTGCCTGGTGTCGGGATGGGCAGCAGAAAACCCTCCAAGAATTGGACCTTGCCTGGATCTGGGTGAGGACAGTGCCTTCTTTCCATCGAAAGGAGTTTTGTCTCTTTAACACTGCTTTGCTGAGCAGAAAACTATTCCAAGCCAAGGAAAACAGGGCTCCTTTGGTAATTGGAAGTTTGCTTCCAAACAATCCATAACAAATGCCATAAAGTACCAATCTATTCAGAGAATTAATTGGAGACACTTAGGGGAAATTAATAATGAATGCTCAAGTGAGAGTTTCCTTTTGAGCTTTGCATCAAGAACACCAAGGCAAAGTAAACAGCAGAGGAATTAGAGTAAAGCAGACAAACTGTGTGGGGAAAATTAGGTATGCAAAGTAGGAAAGTACATAAATCTGCATGTTATTAATAGGGGGAGAGTTCCTGAAATTATCATATGGGCTGAATATTAAGCGTAATCAACACAAAAACGAAATGGAGAGGTGCTATTTGGGGGAAGATGGTACAGCAAAAGCAACTTTGGATTAGAAACCTCTTAAACATACACCTGTTGTTTTGCCTCCTACAACCCAGGGTTTGTCATAAGGTATTTTTAGCGTAGAAACAAGCAATTCACCTTCTGGCTTATTTCTGTGCATGCTGAAAACAGCTTCTTCAGGCCATGGTATCTCTGCTGCTGGAATCTGAGGTCTGTTTTTCAGGTGTTTAAAGCACTTGGAAGGAGATGATGTGAACAGTGCATTTTACAGAGGATCTCCTCTTAGAATTAGTGATGAACAAAGGACTAGAGGATGTTTTGAAGGTTTTGGGTAAACCTGTGTCTAAATCTGGATGTGTAACACTCACCGCTTCATCCCAGGGCTTGGGTAGTACTGTCAGATGGGGGACACCTGAAGCACAGGCTATAGCCTTCCTATATGCTGCTGTTACCTTGACTGATGTCATTGGGTGTCCTGGAAACGCTGGAGAACATAGTTGGTGACACTAAAATCAGCTGAATCTTAACTGATGGCTCTTAAATGAGTTGTAAAATTGCTCTGTCAGTTGTTAGTGCAGTAAAGTCATTTGATCTTCATCAGCCTGGCTGAGGAGTTAGCTACAAAAGCACCAGCTTAGGAGCTGTTCCTGCATTTTCTTCTCTTCTTCTTTTCTTCCTCCTTCAGGCACAAAGGTGTTTACTGAAATGCCCAAGGACTTGGATTTATTTCCAACCCATCACTTGGTGATAAACTTCCATTATTCATAAGGTAGCTTCTTCTACTCTATCTTTTGCAAATACTGCTCTTCAGGAGCATGTTATGAGCTATCCAGTAATGAAACTCTCGTGCTCAGAATTACTTGCAGCTTGCTGCTGTTAGGAAGAGTCTGTGAAATTGGTCCTACCTTAATTCTTGTGTGCTGAAGTTTGGCGAGGGTTTAGCTTTGCCCTCTGGAAATGCAACAGAGGGGTTCTGTGTTACTGCTCATAATACAGGGCATCTAAAACTGGGAGTCATACCAAGGTCTTCCGTGCATCCAGAGCCAAAAGTCTCTCCAGAGTGGCCAGAAAGTTTGGAGAGAGCTGTCTCACCAGTGCTTTTAGTGCTGGGATGCAAAGCTGTGCTGGTTCTCTGTGGCCTGGAGACATGCATCCTGCATGTATCTGAAGCATCTTGAGTCCTGTATTGTCAGCTTGGGGTGGGGGGAAGACGTGGAGTGTTACCTTCAGAGCAACTGGTGTCTGAAAGGATAACATTGGCCTGTAGCTGTTGGAGCTGTAATGACTTTGAAATCATGTCCTAGTTTATATTCTATGATTTTGAGTGTCCTTCTCCTGTGTTGCATTTGAGAGAATACCCTTGAGATGCTGCTGACCAGATCCTTGTTGTGCTGTTCTTGATTAACGGCATCATCTCCTTCCCTTGATGTCAATGTATGTTTGTGTTGCACAGCTTGCCAGTCTCAGTGCTGGGGCTGGAATTGTCACAAGGAATGCAATGTAAGTAAGAAGCTATTTAAGGAGCTATAGTGCAGCAAAGCAAACGGCAAATGCCTGCTTCTGTGCTCTCTCATACTGGTATTAAATCCCCACATAGTCTGTGTTTTTTCCAATTAAGTTTGAAGAATCACTTACATTATTCTCAAGCACGGATCTAAAAACTAAACTTGCCAAATACACGGCTTGACTGAACTGTTAAAGGAAAATCTTTGGGGCTTTCTGCATTTCCCTGGAAAAATTGCTCTGGAGAAGTATTATAATGGATGAAACAGGAAATTAATGTGTGGCTGTGTTAGTGTGAAGAGATGAAATTCCTGCTGCCTCACATTTTATTATGAGCTTGAAATATGACAACGTTAAGATGTTAAGGCAAATGACAACAGGATTTCTGAACAGGCTTCAGGGAGGATGGGGAATAGAGATGGGAAAGAATCCAAAAGGGACCTTTCTTATTAGCATCATTCAGTTGTGCACTTGCTCTCCCCTTTTCCAGCCCTCTCTGTCTGGTTCAGAATGGGTATCCTGCCTGTTGCTCCATCTCCTTATGGGCGTCCAAGAGCTGTGGGGAGGCATTCAAAGTGGTGATTATTTATGCAAGGAGAAGTCTCTAATCGGATACCTTGTTGGGCAGCAACTCCTCTTAAAAGAAACGATGGGGACTGCTAATGGAAAGAAGTTACAATCCCTTTACAAATCAATCCACTTGAACCACAGCACCTCTGATAGAATTGTTCTTCCTGGAAGGGCTTTATGTACATCCAACAGGAATGGCAGCACCAGCTGATGTGAGTCATGTTTGCAGGCTTGTGAGAGCTACCTGGCATCTCTTGAGTCAAGCTTTCACTTAGACCAGCCCTGCTTTGTCTCTACACACAGCACCAAATTGGCACAAGGTATGATAGTACCTATTCCTACTGAGGTTCCCAAGTGCTTCAGTGTCACTCTAAAATGTAAAACATCATGTGTGAGGACAGGGAGAGGAGACAATGTGTGCAGAAGACATGCTGGAACAAAGACAGGGCCTGGTAAGCAGCTGGCAGTGATGTCAAGTCATCACTCTATCAGCATAACTAGTTGCTGGTGACACCCGTGGATAAATGTCCCCCCCGAGGGACTGTGCCTTGCTAGTGGCACCTACCAGCTGGTGGTGTATAACCAAGATGGGAATCCTGACAAACCTCACCCTGTAAGTTCACAGTGAGCTGTAAAACCCCACTGCAGAGATGCCTTTCATCTTCTGAGGTTCACCTGAATTCCAGGCATGAAGAACAACGCAAAGGCAGAAGTTGAGCTGTCGTCATGCTGGCAGCACAGCTTTAAGACACCTCTGAGCCTTTAGAGGCTGTGGACCTGGAACCTCTCTTTACAGTCTTCTGAGGGAATGAAGGAATACTGCCACAGCACAGGCTTATGGAAGAGTGGATGCATAAGAGGTAAAACGTGTTATGTACAGCCTGCTCTAAGGCTTTGTGAGATGAGTGTTGGAAGCTCAAGTGCTCTCTCCATGTGCCCTATTTTTTGACCAGAGGCAGGAAGAAAGAATAAAGTAGGACTTTCCAAGAGTGATGCTTTCCTGCAGTTCCAAGAACTGGGTCATGAGTTGAGTTTCAAGCTTGCACCTGAGCATGTGATACAGTCAGAGCTGTACAGCTGCAAGCCTGGCTTTCACAAGAAAAAAAGCCTGTTTCCACTGTGGGGGATTGTATTTCCTTACATAAAAGATGAGATCCCATGCTACTCGTCTGGGAGATAAATCCTCTCGTGGCTCTGCTTTGACACTGATTGGGTATGGCAAGGCTTAACCTTTCTGTCTTGCCTCCAAAAGTGACTCTTAAATTGTTTGCCTTGGTATTGACTTTGTGGAGACTCAGTTACAAATGGGCTAAAGAATTTGCACAGTATCAGTGTGTGCTGCTTCTTGCCTTCAAATAGGAGCTTTTTTGCATGCTTTAGCTGGCTAACATGTCTCTTTTATTCTTGAACTAGAGATGTTGCATGTTAGTTGAGCCCTTCAGGCTCCAGCTTGCTTGAGATCTGCCCTCTGGTTTCTCTCTGCTGGGTCTGAAGGTAGTTTTTAATTTAGTGTTAGAGGTGAATGGGTCTTTCTGGTTTTGTTAGAATCACAGAATCAGCCAGGTTGGAAAGGACCTTTAGGATCATTGAGTCCAACCTTTACCTCAGCACTGCCAAAGCCACCACTAATCCATGTCAATGAGGGCCTCATCTGCACAGTTAGGGTTCTGTTTTCTGGCTGTGCCAGAGACCTGTTTACAGTGGGGAGATGCAGCATAAATATGCTGGTTGTGAGCTTCCTTCCTGCTGCAGTGTGGTCCCTTTGGCATGGGATTGCCCCTATGGAAGCAGGTGACCTATTAGCAAGTCCTGCAAGACTGTTTCAGAGCATCTCATCCGGTGTTGTGCCCAAGTCCCTTTGCTGCAATGCTGGAGTGTGTAATGCATCTGTGGGCTGCCTTGCCAGAGGTGGAACAAGGAAACAAAAAGCTTTGAATGTGTTGAGCACACTGCTTCTGTCCCCCTGTGGCCCTACAGCAGCATCTAATGTGTTTGTAGAGAGCTGAGCTGGGGCTTGTTCATTGGTGTCCCTGCTTGATCCCAATGGCTGGTGCCTGCTTGTCAGGTCAGATGGGCCGTGAAAGGAGGCAGAAGTGCTGCCTTTCCTAATGAGCTGTCTCAAATGAGTACCAATTACAGCATGAAACCAGCTCCACTCCTGAACCAGCCACATGCTGCTTTAGAGGCTACTACATTACAGACTGCAATGGGGAAAGAGCCATCAGCAGGGAGCAGTTGTAGCACAGTGGCCTTACTCTTGGTCAAGAGGGGGAAGAATGAATGGCATGAGTTCACATTTCCTTGCCAGGACTGGGGTTTATAAGCTCTTGAAAGAAAGCAAGCTCACCCACAGGGAGCTTTTGTTGGATACTTGAGTTGGGTGTGAGGAAGAGGAAAGCAAAGAGGTGGCAGTGTTTGAATGCCTCCTGAAAGCTCCATTTGAGGCAGGAACTTAGCTTGGGTTAAACTTCCCTAGGATGATAACTCCAGCAAACAGCCCCAGAAGCAAGAAGAGCTACTTGTCCTGATGGGACCTCTTCACAGGAGCGTTTTCCAGGCAAGGTTATATCAGTCACTCTTGCCCTTGCAGCAAGCTGCTAACAAATGCAGCAGGCTATATTAGACCACCAAGGAAGGGAGAACTGTGTGATGTTGGTTGGAGTCTATGTAAAATAACACTAGAAGCTCACATAAACAACACTCCTAGCTGTTCTATGCACTGCATAAACCTTGGTGCGTGCTGTGTGGTGTCTTTCTACATGGGTGCTAAAGGGATCATAGAATCATAGAACAGCTAGGGTCGGACAGGCCCTTAAGAACATCCAGTTCCAACCCCCCTGCCATGGGCAGGGACTCCTCACACTAAACCAGGTCACCCAAGGTTTTGTCCAACAGGGGACTGTGTGATTCCCCTAAATACTACCGTGTTCCTGTGCCTGAACCAGTTTGAAATGGGAAATTCTCTGGAATACCTCCCACTACCTTGGAAAATTGGGCACTTGAGACTATCTTTGAGTATTTTCCAGTATTAGTATCTTCTGTAGCTCCCTTTACTCCAGTGATCATCTGGGGGGGGGGGAGCCCAACCCACAACTAAAGAATTAATACCTGCACGGGGGAAGTAATTGTAAATTCCAGGGCTGAGATTTCCTTTCCTTTGCTAACACATTCCCTCGGAAATAAGGGACTGAGTGACTGCTACCAGAGCAGAATGCAGAGCGTGTGCCTTTAGTCCTAAAGGAATTGATTGTTGGGATGTTTTGTTCTTGGATTGCTCTGTAATTTGCTAATGCTGCTCCATACACAGCGGCTGCAGCGAGGAAATATGATCCCATTCTGCCTGCTTTGGTCTCTCTTCACTGGTTACCAGTTCATTTGCAGTTGATTTGGCAGTTCTTTTAATTTAGATTTGATTCTGGGTGCTTGTATTCTCATTTCTCAGTTGCTCTATTGTTATGCAAAACCACGCATTCATCAGCAAAGGACTTTGCTCTATTCTAGCAGTGGAGAGAAGCAAAAGCCTCCTTCAGGCTGTTCCCTTGACTTCTGTGGGCTGTCTGGAGCCTTCCCTGGAGTCACCCATTCTGAGTGAGGATTTACTCCATGGTTTAGGTGTGACATTGGGGATAGGACATGCTGAAAGCACTCAGGAGGGTTTGGCCTACCTGGTTGTGGCATAGGGAAGCAAAAGGAGCGGGAGTGAAACTTTGTGTTCTTGCTTGTCCTTTGTGAAGCTGATCTGCTGTGGTCTTAAGAAGTGCAGTCTTCATATGCAAGAATACATCAGCAGCCTTATTCTTCCCCTGAAGAAGGAATGCAAAGGTTAGAGTTCCCTAGGTTTCACTGCTCCATCATGCATTTCATCCTACTAAGGACAGCTTACTCTCTATTAGGTAGGATGCAGAGCTCCCTCCAGAAGTAGGACAGATTGGTTAATTCTCTTTGGGCCGCTTGCTGCTGTTCTTTCCCCAACCGCTGTGTCCTTTTGGTTATTAATAGTTGTTCTTATTGCCTTAAAAAGAGCTGGGTTTCCATACCTGCTGTGACATTTAAAAACGATAGCATCCTTCTTCTGAGCTTGTATTGCTCAGGCTTTGGTAGGAGTTTGAACTGTAATTTTCCTGTTCTAATGCATTTGATACTGAAATGGCTTTTAGGCTGGTGGTGCACGTCTTGGTGTTCAAAAGCACAGGCTGAAGAAGGAAATAAACCCCCCTGCTTGGAAAATGATTCTCTTCTCCCTGAATGCAATTAATTTGCTAGGGCTCTTTCTTAGCTGAGATCCCATGGCCCCAGCTCCCAGACCTGTGTTTTGCTGTTCTTGTCTCCATGTGGAACGTTGAGCTGCAGTTCAGTTTCCTGAAGGGGCTCAATTCTTACCTTTCCAAGACTGCAATGTCAAGAGGGACTCAGAATATGAAAGCAAGCGATTGGGAACATGAGTCACCATGGCAGCCCAGCCAGGCAGCATTAGTGCTTTGCAAACGGGCACTAGGAGGGGGAACTTGGTCAAGCATCAGTCCTTTTAACACATCATCTACTTCAGATTTTACAGGAACCTGTGGCAAAGCCAGTGCAGTACCAATACAGGTACTTTTTTGTAACAAGTACTTGTAAACCACCTGAAAATCAGCTTATTCTTCTGTTTGGCATCTTATGCTGCCTTGGCCTTTTGGCTTCTGTTTTCTTAAATACCAGTAGCTCTTCCCAGTGCCTTTAAAGGAAGGGGGAGATTTAGTGTGACCATAGCCTGGAAGTCCAGAAATCCATCTTCTTGATGCACTGTGGATACTCCATATGATTTCAGACAAGCCCATTTAATTCCCTGTGTCAGTGCCCAGCATGGAAAAGGAGGATAATAGTGGCTTGCCTAAACCTGTAAACCCTGTACCATGCTAGCTATCAAATGGTTTTCTTAATGTTTTCAGCTCTTAACCTCTTCAAAGATAAGATTGACAGTGCATCCATTCCTGATTTCTCTTGAAATCAGCCATCATTTATTGCTCCAAAGTATAAGAAGTCTGCCTCTTTCTAGCCTGTCAGCAGCCACTTGGACAGGAGCACTCTGTCCAGCCTGTGTGTGTCTAACTTGTCAGTCTGAGTGATCAAAGACTACTTCTGAACTTGAGGAGGGAAGGTAAGGCTTGGTTTATGTTTTCCTGAGTCAGCAGCAATAGCATTCCAGACCACTGAGTCTTCACTAGCTTTCATACCATGCTGTCAATCAAGTCTTCACTTTAGAAAGACCAAAACCTATATGCCAGGCTTTACAGAACGAGCTAGCCCTGAGTCTATGGAGTTCTTTGAAACACAGCGGACTTTGAATTGGATCCAACTTCATCATAATAACTTGAAATGAGGCCAGACTCAGTGTTGGATGGCTCAGGATGGGACTCTTTAATGCTGCTTTGGGCTCACAGTGCCCAAACCTAAAAACTTGGTGACAAGTATCTTCCAGATCTCAACTTCATACCCCAAACCAGAACTGTTATCCAAGAAATGTGGGATGTCAAAACCGGTGAGAATGGGAAGTTCTGGACATAAGCAGCTATTTAGGACCCAGATAGGAATCCTTGCTGACGTATTCTGCTAGTGTTCCACATTTCTATCTGCTTCACGTGGCTCAAAATGGCAAGATTAAAGCAGTAACTTGCTAGATGATCAAACCCTGCTTCACAATTCAAATGACTCAGTAATGGTCAAGGTCCCACTAATGAATTACTCTGCTCTTGTTCAAGCCAACAAAAGAGAGCACAGAAGACTTCTGGACAAGCAGAAAGGAATACTTGAAGAGGGCAGCCTAAAGAGCAAAGCTTGATATGGATCCTGTACCTTGGGCACCACTCACATGCCTGTGAGGTGAGGTTGTGATGTCCTGCTATCCCAGAACAGACAGCCTAGAGTAAAAGCTAATGGGAAACTTGGGATTTAGCCTTTTACCAGCAGATGTGAAGCCAGATGTGTAAAGATTTAGTCACTATTGCTGTGGGCTACTTCAGTACTAGTGACCATTTGCTTAGCAGCAACGTCTCAGTGCTGCTCCCTGAGCTCGTGAAGCCCTACCCTAAAGAGAACATGTGCATGTCACTTGTATCCTGCCTTGTCACCACTGTCAGTGCTGTGTAGATGGCCAAATGTGACGCTTGGAGCTGGGGAAAAGGAAAGGGAAAAGGGATAGACATTCTGTGCTTTCCCTGCCTTGGAG